TTCTAATATATTATGTATAAAATCAGGAGGAGCCCTGGTAGTGGAGTGTTTCAGGTGCTTAGCTGCTAACTGAAAGATCAGTGGTTCAAACCCACCAGCCACTCTGTGGGAGAAAGATGTGGCCATCTGCTTCCATAAAGATTTGCAGCCTTGGAAATCCCATGAGGCAGTTCTACTCTGTCCTATAGGGTCACTATGAGTCAGAATCAACTTGACAGCAGTGGTTTTGGTTTTGGGTTCATGTCTCTAAATCATAGTAGCAATGGGCCATGGACCACAGACCGTGAGCAGTGACATCACAAGTAAAGCTGGAAGTTTTAGTATAAAGATATACTCTCTTGGCTTACAAAGTATTTACTTTTTTCTACTTATAAGCAAGGCTTTGGTTTATATGTCTATTTTATTCCATATTCCCTACGAGTTTATCAACCAAAAAAAAAAAAAAAAAGCAAGTGCGAAAGGGACAGACCCTCAACGAGATGGACTGACATAGAGTGTGCAACAATAGGCTGAAGCATAGCAAGGATTGTGAGGATGGTGCAGGGCTGGGGAGTGTTTTGTTCTGTCACATGGGGTCACTGAATCAGAGCCCACTCTGAGGCCCCTAACAACAACAATCCCTGAGAGCCATTGTTATGGATTTGAAGCAAACATCAACTATCTTGTTTTCAAACCCTAGCTCATGGTCATAATGGAAGATCTCACAAGAACATTTTTTCAAGCAGAGGCCTCAAACCCAGAAGAATAACCAGTGTACAGCCTGTTGTCCAAAAAGTATAGCACATGAAGAACCCAGAGGCTGAACCACAGCTGCCCAGGGTCACATGCTGGCAATTTCATTTGCTAGCTGTGGGGCCCTGGACCAGTACTGGACAACCCTCCAGACCCCACTTTCTACTTCTGTGAAATAAGGATAATGCTGGAACCTCATTCTTCATATTATTTTGAGGATTTGATGAGTTAATACATGTTATAGAGTTTCAAAGGAGCCCTGGTGGGACAATGGTAAAGTGCTTGGCTGCTAACTGAAAGGCCAGCAATTTGAACCCACCAGCTTCTCTGCAGGAGAAAGGGTCTGGGGACCTGCTCCCATAAAAGTTACAGCCTAGAAAA